AAATATATATAATTTTATTTTTTTATTTATTTATTTTATCAGGACCACAGCTGTTAGCCTGTGTGTGGTTCCCAAAACTTTCCTAATAGATTACAGTCTGCATCCCTAAATTCCTACAGTTTCTTCTACCCTTCAGATTCCTTACACTCTAAAGTTGCATTCCTCAACTATGTTCTACCCCAGAATGGTGAATGAGAGGTCTCTAGATTTTGTTTTTAAGATACTCTTAGATATGGCAGTGCTGAAAGGTCCTAGAGAGTGAGATACAGTAATTCATTCATTCATCTTTCTTTTCTGGAGGTCTTGACACACCTTTAAATATTCAACAGTTATGAGGTTTCATTAAAGGATTTCTCTGCATGATAGAGAAACACAGAACTAAGAACAGCACACAGACTAAGACAGGACTTCTGCTAACCAAACCTACATTAAAATCACTAAAGATAAACAAGAGATCAGTAATACAATCAAGAGAAAATATACAATACTTCATTTCCCAGCTCTTTTCCAGCAAGTTCAAAGGCTGAGTTCAAAGTTTGAGGCTGAGGGGAGACCTTATCACTCTCTACAACTACCTGAAAGGAGGTTGTAGCGGGCTGGGTGTCAGGCTCCCAGGTAACAAGTGATAGGACGAGAGGAAATAGCCTCAAGTTGTGCCAGGGGAGGTTTAGATTGGATGTTAGGACAAGTTTCTTCACCAAAAGGGCTGTCAAGCATTGGAACAGGCTGCCCAGGGAAGTGGTTGAGTCACCATCCCTGGAGGTATTTAAAAGATGTGTAGATGTGGTGCTTAGGGACATGGTTTAGTGGTGGACTTGGTAGTGTTAGGTTAATGGTTGCACTCAATGATCTTAGGAGTCTTTTCCAACCTAAATAATTCTATGATTCCTGTTCATCTGCCAATAAAAGGGCATCTTTGGCAAACAAGTACTGCTTCCTGCACTCCTCCTTTCCCTGAGAAATTTAGCACCATTCAACAAGACTCATAATTCTGGAAATGTAAAATTTCTACCTACTCCAGAACAGAGATTACACAATCTCGATACTGAGCTAGCAGGTTATTATGCGTCCCAGGACACTCACCTACTTTTGCAGAGGATGGTCGGGACAATCTTTGGCTGTAGATCTGAGCAGCTCTCTGAAAAGATGAAAACAGGCCAATGGTGTAGCTACCAGAATGACAACGATGTAACCCTGCAAGGCTAGAAGCCTCACTGGACACTGGGTTTGTGAAGACAGAAGAGCTGTCAGGAGCTGTGCTCCGTGAGGAGGGTAGTGGGGATGGGGACTGAATCAGCTTGGGACCAACTGGAGGAGCCGGCAATGAATGGTGACCAGGCACCTGTGAATTTTCAGAGGATGCAGGTTGACATGGTATCCAGGAACTGGCACTTCTCTGGAACATGGCACCAGAGGAAGAAGCGCTAAGAGGGCTGCACCGAGGTAATTTCACTTCAGCATTTAAGGAGAAGGTGGGTCCTTCTGGAACTACACAAAGATAATGAGCACACTACATGAGAAAAAGCTGCTTTTCAGGTCTTTTGGATAATATCCACACACCAAAGATGTCTCTACTCAGACACACTAAAACCAAATTGACTTCATCTACCAGCAAAGACAAGAAGAGGCTCTACATGATGAGCATCCTCTTTCAAAGCTTGCCATATCTAGATCTTCCCCCACAGAAGAGCAGCTGACACTTTCATACTGCTCACTCTACAGTATCTTCTCCTGGGTTTAAAGGAAAAACCTGCAGAATCTTCCCCAAAATTGTGCATTTGAATCTCTCAGTTTGAACCCAAAGGTTCCAACCTTTGTTTAAAACTATTTTAAAAACAGTATATGCATTTTTTCCTTGATGATGATTTAAGCCAATTCACTTACAGGTTGATTTAACTTCTTTCGGTTTATAGCCTTTTAATGCTCCTTCTGCAGGCAGATCTGCAACTGAACTTTTGGGCTGATCGTCTCTTACTTTTTTTACCAGCTCAGGACGCTCTATAACAAAATCAAGGAGTTAGGAAGTAGGAGAATGCAACCTGTGATATCATTAGAACAGGACTGCAGAATTTAAACATTGTTACAATGGACTTTCTTGCTAATATTTACTGTAGACCATGCAAGTCTATTGATCACAATTGTGCTGTCATGAACAGTAGCATGGACTACTGGACATGTATGGCTGGCACTGCACTTCCTTCCATGGAGCGCCTAATTAGGCCCAAATATACAGACTCTGCCCTCCAATGGGTATACTCACTGTAGGCAGCACAATTTAACAGGCCTTGATTTCTCTCATCCCTCACTTTGATTTCAGGATTCTCTGTTCATTTCAAATCTCAATGCCTTCAGTTTGCACATTCTCATTTCAGTCATGAGCCACCATATCTAGTTCCTTATAAATGCTAGTCCAGATTCATCCCATTTCACTTCAGGCAAAGAAGGCAGGAGTGCAGTTACCCTAGTCTTCACATACAGAGTCAGATTAAAAAAAAAAAAAGATAGATACACAACCTCAAGAAACCTGAATAACATTCTGGAGGGGTTGTTCTCTTTCCATAGACTGAAGTTAAACTGGATTTGTCTGGGCAACATCATCTCAGAACTGCCTGCAACACTTACCCCCTTGAGGCTGTTTCTCTGACTGGTTACTGGTGTTGCTGGGTTTTGTGCTTGTGGAGTTTGCTCCTAGGAAGACACTTGCTGACTTGTTTTTGTGTGTGTAAAATGTCAGCACTTCCTCCAGGTCACTTTCACTACAGTAGGGAGAGAAGAATGGATGTAAGTGAGGATTCTAAGCTTTTCTGCCTTCATGTAACAATCAAAGATAAGAAACGACAAGGAGACTGAAGAGGGGAGTAGGAAAAAAAGGTGAGGCCAGAAAAGCTAATGATTTGCTCAGTTCTGCAGGGTAAGAGCAGAAGCAAAGGAACATGCCTTGGTTAAACCTGAGATTCCCACTGAAATGCCATTTTCTTATGCAGTAGAAAATTCAAGGCATTCAGAAGCCTTCCCAGGATAAATAAAGAGCAAGTGAAAACTCCAAACACATTTTTGGGGAGATCAGCTCAACAGGAGAGACTCAGTTCATGGTTAAATTTGTGAATCTTCCCAAGGTGCTCTCTAGAACAAGCAGCTATCATGTCCATGAGAACTCAGCTCAGCTTTTGTTTTATAGTCATCATTAGTAGTTTCAATTCAACAGTGTGGGGAGAAGAGGAATAGAGGAGGGAAGAGCTTTTTAATTAGCCAAAACTGCAGGACAAAAAAACAGAACAGTCAATATTTTGTGAATCTCACAAAACTTGCATACGTTTCTCATTTTCTTTACAAGAAAAGAGTATAACTGCCCCAACATCCTAAGCGTCTATTGGTCCCAAACCAGTATCAGTTACTTGGCCATTCATATTAGAGCTTGTGCAAGCTGTAATTCTGATTGTTTCGATATCTAACATGCTTTCCTTTTGTTTTATAGTGTTGCCTCAGCGTTAGTGAGTGGGTATATGGCAGAGCAAACACCAAAAGCAGGAAGTATAGTGCCAGTACAAGGAAACGTAACACAGGAATATAAGTTTGCATAGCAGCAGTTATAATCCTTCAAAATGTCCTCTGCATATCACACTTGTACTAGTCTTAGCCAGCCTGAGCTTTGGTAAAAGCAACGTCTAAAGCTGATCCCACTGGAATTTGGACCTTCAGGGCACGCTGCAAAGTTCACCTTTTCTCCCAAACCAATGAGAATAGACATGAAGAGGAAATGTAAGAATGAAGAGTTGTTGGTGGGAAGGTGCTTTAAGCTTTTAAGTGAATTTATCAGCGTAAGTATATACTTCTACATTGCTCTGAGGATGTTTAGAAGCAGTGGTTGTAGCATGCGTATAACTAAACACAACACCATCCATGTGATATCAAAGTTAAAGAGTCGATGAGACAATACCCGTTATTCAGTGGCAACATTTATTACCCATTTTCTCCAGTGTTGCATTCACTGTACTGCATAACAAACACTCAAAGTGGAAATCTCTCCTCTTTGCTTGGCTCCAAATGACTAGCTCACTGATTTAAGCTTCAAGCACAGCACAAAGTAGTGTCAGATACCAGAGTTTTCAAACTTACCTGATCATAGAATCATAGAATCATTAAGGTTGGAAAAGACCTCTAAGATCATCAAGTCCAACCGTCGTCAACCCAACACTACCGTGCCCACTAAACCATGTCCCTAAGCGCCACATCTACACTTCCTTTAAATACTTCCAGGGATGGTGACTCAACCACTTCCCTGGGAAGCCTGTTCCAAGGCTTGACCACTCTTTCAGTAAAGAAGTTTTTCCTAATATCCAATCTAAACCTCCTTTGGTGCAACTTGACGCCATTTCCTCTCGTCCTATTGCTAGTTAATTGGCAGAAGAGACCAACCCCCTCCTCTCTACAACCTCCTTCCAGGTAGTTGTAGAGCACGATGAGGTCTCCCCTCAGCCTCCTCTTCTCCAGGCTAAACAGTCCCAGTTCCCTTAGCCGTTCCTCATAAGACTTGTGCTCTAGGCCTTTCACCAGCTTCGTTGCCCTATGATACTTCATAAGAAGCAGAAAGATCATCACTATAAATTGTCTGATCATTGGCAAACTGGCTTTTGCTGTTCTTTATCACTCAGGCAGATGATCCAGCAAAAATCTCCAGCCCCAGCCTAGACTGTGCATCAGGCCATGATGGCATGGTAGCCAATAACATGGAAACAGAAGAGTATGCAGTTCTGCCCCAAACAGCCATCTCTTAGCATTTCTGGCAAAAAGCAAAATGACCTGCCCTAGGAGGCAACAGTCATTTTAGTGGCCAGAGATGTCAGAGAACCAAGAGCATGCCGTGGGCCCATGTAATCTGCATTTCTAGTGACAGGAGGAGATGCTATGGTATATGGTAGTCAGACGTCTTGAGTATTGTTCTTTTATAGAACTCCATCTGAAAAGCAGCGAGATTTTTCTTGGAGCCTGTAAATCTGTTGCGGTAACGACTCCATCAATTAATTACATTAGCAAAAAGTAAAATTCATTGTTTTCATGAGAATGTAGCATCAAAAGAGACTGAGTCCTCCTGAACTTAGTTCAGAAGCCTCAGCTATCACCCACTCCTAATTGGTCATTAAGATTGCCATCCAAACAGAGAGAAAGAAAGAACAGTTTCGTAACTGATCACGAAAAAGAAGCAGTGACTGTCAACCTTCCCAGAGAAGATAGAAGGGCATTAAAAAGGCAGATGAACTCTACCTATCCAGATATTGACAGGGGTCCTTGCCCATATAGGCATGTCGCATATGGGTCAAATAAAGAATTCAAAAGGAATCTGGTTTTGTGCTCAAGAATCAGAGACTTTGAGGACATAATTCCAGTTCACTGACTGATTTCAGACAACAACTGCTCAACCGCAGCAGCTCAAAGCCATCTGAGCAGCAGCTCTAATTTTAGTCTCCTTCCAAAGTACTGCTGCATTTGCTCCAGCATCACAGGAAAGGAGACCATTAGCTCACCAGCATCAGCTTGAAATTTACAAAGACCAGGGCAACTACTGCTGTCCTTTGGGAATCTACTTAATGCTCAAAACATCTATTGTATGTCCTTCTCTATGCACTAGATGCTGATGCTACAAGCATTTGGTTGCCGGAAGGGAGAAAAGAGAAAAGACAAGTTCTCTATCCCCCAGCCAGAGCAGGTGCTACAGTCAATAAAGGTATTTAGAAGCCTTTAGATAATCAGATCATCTTTAGAACAATTCCATCACCTTCAGGCTTGGGAGATCCTTTATCGAAGGGAATAAAATCCATTCCTACCTTGCTCTGCTAATAAAGTTCTGAAAACCTTCAGGATTCACTCCTTCCTCCTCCTCTTCCTGTTTCTTTTTTGATCGCTTCCGAACCATCTGCTCTGTTTCCTGTTAATAAGCAGTATCAGTAAGTGTCTCTATGTATTTACTATATGTTTCATGGCATAGCTATAGCTCAGAGAAGACAAAAAACAATTCCATGGGATCTAAGAAAAAAGAACATCAACTCCAAAGAGCCAAATTATAAGTATGTCACTATGTGCAACAGAATGGATAAACAGAGAAAGCTCCAGAGACAGCATGCTAAGCATACACTAAACTCCTCATTCCTCCACCTGACATAACTTATTAGAACAGATCTGCTGAGAAGAGGTCAAGTCTTCACAAATACATGCTGCTCCTTCAAATATACTCTTTGCTGGGACATAAGGAAGTATGGAGGGGGAAAAAAAAAAAAAACAACAACATTCTTTACGGATATTAGGTCCTCTTTCTACTTCCGCTGTTTCTGTCACAAATACAGAGATCCTCAAAATAGCTTTTATTTGAGCATCTGTCCCAAAAGAAGATATTCAGGAAGAAAGAAGGACAAAAATATAGAATGATATTAAAGAAACTCAATCAAGGAGGTCTGCTGAGGGCATCCACATTTCCTACTGTAAACCAGGAGTTCTCCTCTTGAGTTAATTTCTCCTGTCATGCAGCAAATTTCCAAGGGCTTATCTACATATCAAAAATACACTGCTTTAGCAAAAGGAAAGAAAGTAAAACAGTACCGCCTGTGGCAAATATGCATTTATACACTAAAATATACTGGAATAAAAGATGGTAAGCCTTTGTGTGTGAGAATGGGAGCAAGCTCTCAGATATAAATGATCTTTCCATTTTTCACCAGTAGAACTTGTTGACACTAGAGGTTGTATTGATACAAACATTTTTGTTAATTAAAAAAAAACCCTACAGGCCTGTCTGAAATACCAATACCAGCATACAAGCTTTATCTGACCAGACTTGACCTCCACTTCATTGCTTCCTACTGGTACTCTAAGCATTCCTAGGACAAAAGGGTCAGATACATCTTTTGAAAGATAATTCAAGAGCGGGGAGAAAAAGCCACTCTGGGACATGTCTCTACTCTTCATCACTTAAGTAAGAGTCTGGACAACATACGATCTGTTTTACTTAGTTTGCTGGAGGTAGTATTTTTTCTTCTGACATTACAGAAGATACATAATGGTTAGTAGGAAACCCCTACTAAATCTGAAGTTACAAGTCAGTGAAAGAAGTCTATATGTTGGAATCAGACATCAAAAAACCTCATAGCTTAAGAGTCTCTCAATGGCTTAAACGTGTACGTCCTAAAACCTCAAGTGATCTGTTCTCACTTGTTTTAACTGAGAAAATATGTTTATGCACTGATTTATTACCAGTTACACAGCTTTATTTTGTGAATTTACTCAAGAGTTAGCAGAAAATCCTGACTGAATACAATTTGAGTGGAAATTATATCCAAAGCAGCTGCATTCTTCACTCACCACAGAGCCACCCGAGTGTTTTGTGGTTACTCCTAACACAGTAATTCAGTGAACATTAGGCATACAAGGCACTCCCTGGAACAGATTTGGTTCAATACCCATCTTACTTTGACATATCAAGTTACCAGATGTCACTTCTGACAAGGTAATGTAAGTGAAAATCCTCTGCTAGCGAGCAGGAGCTTGGAGGCCTGTGTGCACAGCAGCCTCTGAAAGCAAAACTTAAACTACCCTTGTTCTAACACTAAAGAAATGCTAGGGGGCAAAGGAAAGGGGAAGCTGTTCTTGCAAAACAAGGATTAGCATGAAACCACTATGCTAAGAACAGCATCTTCTACATCTAAAGAGGAGAAAATTATTTAAATTAGCACCTATTTCTCCTTATCACTGAGCATGCAGAGTCCCATACTACAAATAGGTAGCAGTCCCTCAGTACACCAAACAAATGGTATACACAATATACATAAATATTTCATACTGTTCTGTATAAAAGAAAATTATCTCTAAAGAAGCAACATAAAAATAGGGAGAAATGGTAAGAGGCATTACAAAGCACTAGAATCAAAGTCAAGCCAAAGAAAAAGCAAACTAACAGTTAAATTCCACTTCATTTCAACACTCCTTTTTACTTTTATGCACAACATTACCAGACTGCATATATAATGTAGTAATACTGTTGTCTATCTGACAATTTGAACAGACAAGCTACCATTACTGGATGCACAGCTGCAAACTATGTAAATTACAGATCAGAGCCTTTGAAACAGCCTGCTGTCTTGACTATGACAGCAGCCAGTAGGAGATACTTTAGAAGAAGAGAACAGAAACCAAAAGAGCTACCAAAAGAAGAATCAAAAAATAATTAGTCACCTTGTTGTAACAGATTATGAACTCGCCCAGCTGGTGAGCCAGGATACGACGACGATCATTTAGTCCTAAACGACGGCTGGGGAGCAGCATCCTCAAGGACTGCTGAAGATTGCTGGCAGCTCGCTTCAGAAAGCGTACCACAAGCTCCTGCAAGCAAGAGAGATGAGTTAACAATGGACCAGCTGGAAGATGCAGGCAGAAGAGAACAGAGGTACTACAGCAGCTAATGACTGGCAAGAACTAAACACACTGTCCTGAGAAAATGTGCTGACAATTGGCAGGCAAAAGCATTCTACAATGTGCATTTTTAATGTAGCCCTACAAATCCAAGGTGCAGGGAGAAGAACGATGGTGTGCCTTGCCTGAGGTGGGTCAGAATTGGGAACACTTGAGGACTGTTTGTCTGAAAAGCATGGCAGATGAAGAAAAAAAAACAAGCAGCAAAAAGCAGCACAATACAGAACAACCTGTAAAGTCCAATACCTTAGGAGAACATTTCCAAACAACAACGTGCAATGTGTTAAGAAGCATACTGACATAAAACCCTCTCAACGCTATCACAGGGAAGGGGATCTTGGTCAGATATCTCCACTACAGTGACGTAGCCCCATTTCATCACTTTTCATATATGTACACTATTGCCACAGCCTCTCCACAGCAACAGATGACTACATCTACAGCCATGTAATTCCAGTCTCCCACCACATGTGTTTGACCTCTGGCAGGGGAAACATATGGCAAGGCAGATCCTAAGGCGAGATGCATCCTGTGGGTGTTTTGAACCCTTTCTGTCTCCCTTCTGGATTTGCTTTTGGTTAGGAGCTCTGTTAATGCATAAATGAGCAGCCTCACAGCCAAACTATTGGATTTCACAGCTCGCCTCTCACTGCCATTACTACAGGCTGGTTTGATCTGTTATTTTAAACATTATTTTTCACAGTGCAGCAGACAAAGTGACTCTCAAAAAGCCAGTTTCAATTTCCACTTGGAAAGAGCAGGGGTAACTTTTTCCACTGAGTCGACTGATTATTCTTGACACACAATTTTATCTCTGAACTGCACGGGCTGTTTCCCCTGCAACATGCATTCAGCAAGAATACATTTGGACTTGCAGAAAGCTCAAGAGCCTACTGTACAAAGCTCTTTTAGAAAGGTTTGTGAGGGGATCTGGGCTTGCTGCACTCTTTAAAATGTATATACATCAAATATAGGGTCTTAAAATACTACCTGGAAAAATTCATCACGTTTCTTAAAAAAACCCCAACACTTATGCTAGAAAGTAACTTTCTCTCCTCAGTGGCTTTTACCTTTTTTTTTTGCTCTGTCTAGAATGCAAAGAAGATTCCTAAGCACAGATGCTTGCAAAGAGTAAAACAGTACATAGGAGAAAAAGCTTAACTGGGTACCTGTTCTATTTGAGTAGATGTATATTTTGTTTAATGCAGCAGAAACCAGATACTGCCAAGTAATCTTTAAGAATCTAGATAGAAGAATTCAAAAGCAGGTAAACTCAGAGATCAGTGAAGGAGAACCAGTGAAAGATCTGAGCAGCTCAAATGTCAACCACACTCTAGTCATTAAGAGCTGTCTACTCTATCGCTGCTCAGATGTCAGTCAGCAGTCCTACCTTGTCTGTATGTTAAAAATACAGCACTGGCAGCTGGACAAAAATAGACAACTATAATCTCAATTATAATCCCAATCCAAGGATGGGAACTGACCTCAAAACTCTCAAGGCAGATTTCAGCTTGGCTTCTCCGTCTGGCCAACACAAAGCTTCTTACCATTTGCTCATCCTCTTTAGCAGCCCAGGCAGGATTCTGGATCTGGTCACCAGCCTCCTTCATCAGTCGCAACTGAACGTGCTGTAGATAGGCAGAGAAAGCCCTGCGAGCTTGCACTTTGCTGCGGACCAAGAGAATCAGTCAGCTATATTCAGAATAGTAATGGGAACAGTTACAGCAGTCAGGCACAGCTTATGGACCAGTACGGTCAGCAAGGACCTCCTAGGTGCACAAATGTTGAAGCTCAAGGGAAGGAAGACCCCTTCACCCCACCAATATTTTCAAGGAGACCTTCAGTTCACCAGGATGAGGGAGGTATTGCAGGAGATACAAAAGACAGCAGATGCTCTTTAAGTTCTAAGATCATCTCTAAAAATTGAATGCTCTCCTTGCCTTTTCACAGCCTTAGCTACTCTCCTCCAAAAGCCAATAACATGAACATCAGCAAAACTGTGTATTTTTAAACCAGATTCAAGGCTCTCTTGGGCCTCTGTCTTCACAAGCATTTTGAACACCACAACAACAGACCATAAAATAAATGAAGAGCTTGGTACTGGTGCCAGAGTTATAACAAAAGCCCTGCAATTCCCATTGGAAATGAAAGAATTAAATCTGTGAAAGTGAGCTCTTCCTTCTGGCCCAAGGACACAAGCCAAATTTCATTGAGCAAAGCACCACTGAAGAATGAAAGATCATCATCAAGCTGGCTGAACATGTTGGGAAGCTGTGAGCATGAACTGAGGAGAGGACTGGGGTAGGGACTGGGAGGGACACATTGCTTCTCATTCCCTCACAACAGTAGTCACTTTAGCATATGCATCTGTTGTGAGAGAAACTGCTGAAAGCAATTGGCTAATTCTGTTCATTGTCATCTTGGCCTAAACCCTCTTCTCCAACATTCTGCTGTCCCAGTCTCCACTCCTCATAGTTTTCCCCATAGTCGCTACAAGCTGTCCCTTGAATTGCCAAGCAATTTCCTTTTCATAAGGATGTAGAAGCAGATGGGCTTTAGTGTCAGTGACAGATTCCCCTTTTATCACAGGCAATGTCCTAATCTTTTCTATAAAACTATCAAGTTTCATCTTAAAACAAGCTAGAGTTTTAAACCCATTATTTTCCTGGAATATTATTCCAGAACTTGCTGTTCTAATTATTAGGAACCTTCTTTTGCTACCCAGCCTAGCTTCATTCACGAGCAGTTTATATTTCCTTTTTTTTTTTCCCAACATTGTCCTGTACCTTAAATAATTTCATCCCTAATGGGTCTCCTGCATTGAATGTATTTATTAACAGCAATTACATCCTTTCATAGTTTTCATTTTATTAGTGTGAATTATCCACATCTTTCAGTGTCTTCTAACAAAGCACCCACACTGATGACATGATGAGACTAGCAGCTCATATCCACCTGTTCCAGTCACAATTTACCTCCCATGAACATGGGTGATAGCAACTGTATACAATATTCCACTGAAGTCTCAGAAGTATCCCAAGTAATAAACCCTAGACCACATTTGGTGTTTTCACGCCTGCATGAGCTACAGCTTCGCAAACCTCCTGTGATCAACAAGGATGCAAGATATTTTTCCTTATAATTAATTTCCAGTTGATGAACATCCAGCTGATAGAATTTCTCCTGTAAATTATTAGTTCTTAAAAGCATACCCTTGCACTTTGTGCTACTGAATTTCATCCTAGTTATATTATTCCTATCCTCAGGGCCATCCAATTCTTCCCATATTAATTCCACTACTTTTCTCTCATGGTAATAACTCCCAAATCTTTTCCATCAGCAAATTTCATTAGCACATTTCTACATTTTTGTCATTCTTGACTTGATTATTAAAATCAGCCTCAGACTGATTCCTGAGGAACCTCACCATTTTTTCCTCTACTTATTCTCTGCTTCTTAGGAATATTCTCAGATACTTATATGGTCCTCATGACTCCATGCACATGAGTCCCTGAAATTTCATTAAAAACTCAGTCCAGAAATTTAGTCTTCCTGTTTTGTATGTCTGTAAATTTCACGAACACGTCGTTACAGTGTAACATAGAAATCATACAACATAGTAGCACTTACTGATCATCAATTTAGATAAGAATTAAAGTTAAAACAAAATACATTAGAAGTATCCATGCATCTGCTTAATCATTAGTTTTTGATGCTTCTGGAAGACCGTGCCAGGCCCAAAGAGGGGCTAAGCAAATGATGAGTTCACAAGAGTCTCAAACTGACATCCTCTGTGGATAGCTGTACCAGTACTGCAGTAACTAAAACATGATAAAAATACCTGGTCACAATTCCTGTCTTCCAGTGAACTCCAGAATGCACAGCAGGCCTTGTAAGACCTCTGAGGTCTGTATACTACACCACACCTACCTTCTCTTCCCACATGTGTGGAATATCAGGAGAACACTCTGAACCCTAAAAACTAATAATCTACACATCAGGCCACCACATATCAGAAAAGGCTCTCCCCCTGAGGGCTCTCGAGGGCTGCCAGGTTTGTTTCAGGTTTAACTCAAACATCTCGCGACCAGGAGTTCAAGATTTGTGCTGGTAAGAATTAAGGACCCCCCATTATCAACATTAGCACAGTAATGTAATTCTTTGCCTGCACCTGATACTTCTGTGATTGCAAAATGGGAAACTGAAGAAGGCACGTGTATAACACTGCCTCTCCTCTGGTGTGTGGAATATTGAAACCTGAGGCCTTAAATGCAGAAACAAGTAACTGCCTTTTCTTTTTACTTCCCTGGGAGTGGCACAGTTGAAGGAACATTTCATTCGACTGTCACCTCTTCACCAGTAACACCCAATGTGTGGAAGGCAGAGAAATTGCGTCATCAGACCAACTAAGAAGCGAGAGAAGTTCTACCACTTACAAAAACTGACTGGAACAGCCCTGGTTTTTTTTGGATGAAAATTTCACTACTTCAGCTCCTCTGCCTGTTGACCCCACAAGCAAAGCTTTCATCAATGACAGATCAGATGGGTCCAAGCCCAGCACAATCCTGGAACATGAGGTCACCACAAGCCTTACACACTTCTGTGGGGAATCCCAACAGTACTGGGTGCTGAGCAAGATTCTGCCAGGAACACCAGACAGAGTTTACGTTCTTGGCAGGAGTCAGTTCTATATATAGGTAGATGACAGCATTGCTATGTTTGTCCTCAAAACAGGTTTCAGAATCTTCCCTGTCACGACAGCAAATGTCCTTGCCATAAGAAGACATCAGAACAATCCCCAAATCCATTTGATAATTCATAAATCCTCTCAGAAACTAAATTAAGAAAGGAACAACAAGCAACAATTATTTTCTCTACCTTTGGACATTTTTCACGAAAACATAGTGCTGCTTCTTATCTAGAAGATATAAAATCCTCCTACACAGATATATATGCTTACTCTTTCTTTTTGCCCTTCCTGTCCATCTGCAAATAGACAGTTTTACTACCCACATTTAAGGGGAGGATCATGCTTCTAAACATCTAGTAGGACCCTGGTTGGTGTTATTCTATACAATCTCCTCCAGCACCTCTCTTTTTTCAAGCAACAGAGCCATGCATCAGAACATACTCTGCTCCACACTGTCATACTCAACAGAAGACAATGAGATGTTTCAGTAACTTGTCACTCTCAAATGATCTCCTATCTTGCTCTCAGAGGGTGATGAGCAGAGGTTATTATTAAAGGTAAAAATTTTATCACCAAAAATAAAAGCACAAAAAACGAGAAAACTAATTTTATGGAGAGGCAGCACCGAGGTATTCCTACCCAACCTTTGTTGTATAGTTTAACATATGTTTATACCCACTTCTTTGAAAATGCAAAGAATGAAAAGACGAATTTTAGAATTCAATAGCAGGCATCCTGCACTAAGACAGGGAGGCATTTTAGAAGCCTGAGTTGACCAAAGAAGAGCTTACATCACCAGATTAAAGAATAGCAATGGAGACTCTGGCTGATGCTTTATACAGATCCAACAGGTCAGGCATTTCGGTAAACTGACAGTCTTTGCAACTATCTCTCTTCTGTGCCAACTGGTTGTTAAGGCAGCCCACAGTTAGACAAAAATCCAGGCCCCTTTCTCTAGGGTCCTCTTACCTCCTCACACACATTATAATGTGGCACTAAGTGTACATCTTCCATATTTTAATCAATATTAGCTGCTAGTCAAAACTCAAGACAATATGCAGAAATCTCTCACCTCAGGTTTCCATGCTTTTGAAGAATCTGCAGCAAGTTAAACTGAGATTCTGAGTTTGTTTTTCGAAGAAACGGCTCTCCTCCATCTCCAGTTTTCTTGTCAAGTTTTTTTGGCAACCCCTCCTTACAAGTAGTTTTCACCAAATCAGAGAGCTTTGGCTGGCTTTTCACCTGGGTGTCCGAAAGAGAGCCAACAGTTCTATCTAGCTCTTCATCTGCATCCACCTCCTCTTCCTCCTCATCTTCTGCGTCTGACTTGAGGGACAGCTTTGTTGGTTCTGATGTCCCTGTAGTAGAGGAGAAATCACTTATGCTGGTTAAGAAAAAAAAGAAGTGGGGAAGACCGTCCTGTTATTTATACCCTTTGGTTTACTTCTAAACTCTTTTCTGCTAGAAGGACAGAACACTACCATTTTAGAATAGCATCTTAAGTATCACTGCCCTTTATTATTCTTTCTGTCTTTCTGCTTGTGTATCAAACAGTTGAGAAGCCCATTTTCCCAATATCAGACAAGACAGACCAAGATTCTTGTCTCAACTTTACAAATGAAAAAAAAAAATCAAAGGCATTTTCCTATACTTTATCCTGATTCTTACATACATACTGACATATATATACATTCATACTTGACATATATACTCATTTTTTGTATTTTTGTGTGTCAGAAAAACCAAAGCTATGAAATCTAAACTTCCACGTGTGCCAATAAAGATCACATACCTTAACATAGCACCAAAAATCATTTTATAAAATACATTCTCTCCCATTGCAGTCAGTATCACATAGCTACTAGAAAGATTTTAGAAATGGCTTCAGGAACAGCCACTTTTGAGGATCATTCACCTCTGTACCCTTTTAAGTTTTTCCTACGTCAGCTTGGATGAGAAGGATTTCTCTGTTTCCAATAGCTTAGAGTCACTGCTGTGTAGGAGAACCAGCCTGGAAGGTCCCAAGTTTTCATCTTTCTTTGAAAAGCTGGAGGACTATAGAGGCACACATACTATTGAATTCTTGTACCCAAAATGCAACCGCAAGCTCATCTTCAAGAACATATTGATTACCTTTAGTCATATACATGGGGGATGTAGAATGATGGGAATGAAATTCTAGGCACTAAGGCGGCAGGAAGATCAGAAGAGCAATGAAGTGAAAACTATTAACACTTGAAATTAAAACTATTAACTTCAACCTGTGAATTCCTTTAGGGACTACAAAGGGCAGAACAACCCCATTCACACACATTTAAAATAAAAAAGTCCTTGCTTTTGACTAGCTGCTCATCTAAGACTGCAGCCATGCATACCTGATGATCTTGTCCGTGCTGCTCTAGCCTTGCCATGACATCGTCGGCGCTTCCGTAACTCCAGTGAAACAAGCTTTCTCTCATAAAAGAGAGCATGAGAGTCTACAGCTTCCAGCCTCATATCCAGCCTTCCATTAAGACCTGCTCTGCAAAGCATAATACAGAGACATCCTCAATCTCCCTTTATACTTCTCTCCCTGATGATACAAGAGACTTAGTAGATTAAATTTCTTCAAGAAACAGTTTTCCTGACACAGGGAAGAAATATTTATGATCAGTCAAACTTTGCTGTATTTAAAGCCTGCAAATGTTTGAAGCGAGTCTTGCAAGTACTTTACAGAACATCATCTCTCAAAGCCTCAAAATGCACTTATCTAGTGTCATGCTTTCATGACTGAGCAGCATCTGTCCATCATGCAGCAGCTCAAGGCACAATTAATAGGGGAAATTGAATTGCAAGAGTACAAAACAATGGAGGGGAGTGGGAAGAGACGACATGGACCTGAGTCCAGTCTTCTGAACTTTTTATGTAGACATCTTGTTCTTCACTGTTTGGTCAGAGATAAGAATTTTAACATAATCTAAGTGAAAAATGACAACCTTTCTGCAAGTTCTGCCTAAACCAAGGGAGAAGGAGCCCTGCCAGATTCCTTAAGGGAGACAAACAACAACTTTCTGCCAGTGTACAAAGATCCAGCAAAGTGCTCTTTATGATATAAGTGAGAACATCCACAGAAAATTCCTGTTGCTCCATTTACCTTTTAGATCTAGCAAAGTGAATATATGGGTATATGAAGTCCAAAACCCTCATGCATTACAGGATCTTTTGAGAGAGCTCAATGATGGGGCTTATCAATATGGTAGGAATGCCAAAGTAGGAAGCCTAAGAGGAGCAATTTTAAGGTCCAATCCAACAAAACTTAAGCTCTCCACATGCTAGGATACTCTTTGCTCACTGTATTTTCTTTTCTAAAATTAGTCTGATGGATTTCAGGTAGAAAAGGTATTTACCCAGGACTTGGAAGAGGAAGCTATGGAAATCTAAATTTAGAATAAATCCTGCAAAGTACAAATTATTTAATTAAGAAGCCGTTTACCGGGATCTCCCAGTGATGAAGTCTCTTTTCATCTTGCCCCTACAAAGAGAAAACCGGCAAAAATTACCTTTCATTCTGGATCATCAACTGGATTAAAAAGCCTCTGAAGTCTTTCATATGTACAATTAAAAGGCCAAATTTACAGAATTCCTTGCGAGTTCTATCTTAAAGGAGAAAAAAAGGCTCCAAAAGAGGAAATCTGAGCAGCTGTTCTACAACTGATGCTTTCATCTGTCTGGCTTAAATTGCAGAAGGTGTCATTTGGAGCTACCCTCTAGACACCTCCCTGAAAGTATATAGCAAAAAAAAAAAAAGAATATTGTACAGTGCTGATGCAGGAAGAGCTTCTGTAAATATTGTCTCCTCAGTCAGAAACCTTATCCTTACTCTGTAGTTACTTTATTGTGGATCTCAAATTTGGGTAAGAAAAAAGTTGAGAAGGAAGGGTGTTAAACATACAATGAAAGATACTGCATACAACTCTCAATGGAAGTTCAGCTAGTGGCATGAACTGTCAGTTCCACCCAAGCACAACCCAAAGAAAGAGGCATCAAATCATGCTTGCACAGGTCAAGAGATAGGAATGCTAAACCTTTGGAGTAAATATCAGTGCTTACTTTACATGAGGGCAAGCTCTAATGTGACTTTAAATTTGAAACAAAAGGTAAGCAAGGACCACCTATAATTCCTTCATAGAGAAACCTAGGTGCTTGAAGGTTTTTCATGTCTATAGTCATCTTTTTACTCCAATGACTCCCATGCCTTTTCTGTAATGTCCTTTTTGCCCTCGGACTCAGAAGCGCAACACGTAAAAATGTGAGAAACCCCCACAGTCACTGGCACACTAAAGAGATACGTAACTATTACCACCCCGTAAATCATAGACTGGTGTTTATAACACTGGATAAGTGAGGAATCAATCCTTTTAATGCTGTTTGTGCCCTTTGCCTCCCTCTCAAATAGAAAAGCTTTCTACCTGTCCTGAAACAGACGTGTAGCCAGCATGTAGTTCATTGATGTCTTGTGCTCTAAAAAGGATCTAGAAAAACAAAATACAGGATGTATCAAGATAGAGTTCAACACAATGAAAGGCAGCATAATACAGAAATAAATGATCTATAAAAAACATCCCAGAAGTGGATTGAGACAATATGCTGTACCATAACAGAAAAGAGGAAAGGAGGAGAGCTATCACTTCTCAGCTGAAGTTCCTGGTGAGGCAAGAGACACAGAGAAACATTACAGACTGGAAAAAAAATTAGAAAAGCGTAATATAGTATCATTCGCAGGATGAGTCCTATACTGTGTTTATGGCCTAATGACAGACTACGCAGTATGTGCAGCTCTAGGATGTAAAAGCAGATAGCAGGAATGGATTATCTGAAGGGAAGACATTTTTATTCTGACAGAAAAGCAACATCAGAAACAATGCTTGATAGCCTTCCACGAGGTGCAGTTAGGCAAAGCAGCAACAGTTAAAAACAAGGATCAGAAAAAAGCATCCTCAACACTAAAATAAACTCTACCAAAACCCTCAATATGTGTCTTTCTGATTGCTAAGCTGGTTGATATACATATACCTAACACAGAATATCCCTCAATGCAGAGCATCAGTGCAACACTGAGCCATGCTGTTGGATTCTTATTCTTACCCATAAAGGTCCCATGTTAATGGGGTAGGGAATATCCGGATGAAGCCTCCTCTCCGTTCATTCTCCTCTCTCACTCGACGAAGAACTTTCATCTTGGAATAAGAAGAGAAGAAAAAATAGCCAGCAAAACAGATACAATGAAAAATGAACCCTAGAAAAATATCTGAGTTTCAGAGGACAAGACTATTACTGCAGTCCTGGGAGTGAGCTGGGTACGTATGATATCCTTAAGCAATTTTATCTTGCATTTAAATTCTGAATGAGTCTATCACTGCTTGGAGCACATATGTATGCCTGGCATGACTGAGGGCAAGGGCAGTACCAGCAGTAAAACTCAGTAGTTCTGTTTCAAGGATTATACTACTGTCATGTTTTTCATATACATGCACTTGCTCTTTGCTGAGCAAATAACCTCACATATTGCATGAAAGCCAAGGTCAATAAAGGATATTTAATAGCCTACTTACCTCCTCCATGGAGAGACCCAGCACAGAGCTGCCTTGCCTTCCTGTTGCTTTTTCCCTGCCTGAGGGCATCGGGTTTTTGGTTTCAGCATCGCTGGCAGACAGAGGACGGGTACGCTGTAGAGACAGTGTGAATCCAGATTTTTCCCTTCTCCTCTCAACTTACTTTAAAAAAAAAAAAAGGTTACATTCAAATTCCAGGACCCCATTCCCAGCAGAATCTACACTCCAAAGTACTACAGCCAGAATTCATAATTCCACACTCCAGCTGTTGAAGAGTCCACACCCCAGTGGGCACTAAGTGTGAGTATTCACATTCCTAGTTTTTAGCACAGCAGGACTCACAATTCAGGCATCAGTGCCAGTATTTACACCCCTGGCCCCTTCCGGAAAAACATGAGACGTACCCAAAAGCACCAAAGCCAGGATTCCATACAGAAAAATCCTCACCCAAGGGACACTAGAGCCAGCATTCACACTCACAGGCTCCAAATACACTTGGATTCACACCTCAACGGTACCAGAACCATGATTCTTTGTTCCAGTTGTGTTGCTACACTAGGACAGAACTGTAATTCACTAATGAGATAAAGTTGCAGGAAAAAAGTGAAAAATTCAGTTCACTTCTTGTTATTTTTTTGTTACTATACTGCTGGATCTCAACTTGCTACATCTCACACTTAACAGACAGATCTTGTATATGTACGTAAATACATCATATAAATTTGCATACATATGCAAATTTAAAAAAATAAGAAAAGAAATTATTTGCAGACAGTCTCTCCAAGCTCATTCGTAACCTGATGGGCAGTTCTGATCAATTCTAACAAAGGACAGGAATTCCAAGTGTCTTCAAATTAGCAGGATTATAAAATCTTCAAATCCCAGCGAGACTGAAATCTTTGAACATGTTCTCAAGTACATTTTAGCTGGTCTTCTCTCTGGCTGTAGCACAGGAATGTCTCTAACTTCACAAAGATCTTGCTTCCTCTTTGACCCAGCTTATCTTTACAAGTATAGATAAATCCAACCACTTTGTTTTATCTCCAAATTCTGCAAGCATCTCTGATTCCCACATCATGATTCTAATTATACTAAGCACTGACAGCAGTTGGCACAAAGATCCTTCCTATTCTCTATCAAACCTCATTATTCAATAAGACTCTTTTTTCTTAGCCTCAGCTAAACTTATACAGAATGACATAAAGAGCAGCACATAGAATGAATTACGTTCTCAAGATGATTCCATCTGTCCTACCTTCCTTCCTGCTGGGAAACCTCAAAAAAAATTAGAATCATCGCTACTACGTTCGTGCATGAAGCCCAGCAGCAAAACAATGCCTACCATGTCCCCACACAGCCAGGTGCTTAGAACTGTAAACTAACATTGATTTGTCCATATGGCTTGCAAGGAGGATGCCAAATATGACATTTAGAAAGGTGGATCAGTCTGACTTATGCTAACGATAGTTCTACATTTTTCCATTATCTTTAAGAAATCCTTCTTATTTCTATATCTATTTTGACCCAGTTCACACTCAAATTTTTGCAGTTTCCTTCAGATGACTGTCTCACAGAAAATAATTACTTCTCTTATGGGCCACCTGAATTTTGTCAATACAGATTCACCTGTGCTATCCTTTTCATTCAGACTTATTCCATCCCCTGTAATACACAAGACAAAAATTCCTCCTCCTCCTCCCTTTGGTGTGACACTCCTATTTGCTGCTGCTTTCACCAGCTCTTCCTTTGTTTTTGGAGTTTCCTTTTCAGTGACCTGACAAATCCAGGTCTACCACTGTCTTCATCATTTGATGACCAGAGTGACAATTTTATCTTTAAAATCTATATCGAATTTCTTTAAAATGCAGTTCAGAAATACTTGTAGGCTTAAAAACTTTGAGGGATTTGACCCAGCTGACCTTGACTCTCAGCACACCTCACTTACTCTTTTTTTAAGCTGCTAGAACTGCTGTAAATGTCTTTCGAACCTTTGCTCTTGCCACATGGAAACGTAGGCCAACATATTCTTGTTGTCTTCCCCCACCACCAGGCTACTTAGCTGCAAAATATATTTTGGGACCAGTTGCGCCAAAAATATTGTACGAGGTAACATTTGAAGTTGCATCCCTTATATTGGTGAAGGGAGCTGAAGGGTACTTACCAATCTGGTGTTTGCTGTTTGCAGCTGTGCAGACACAGGACGCTGCAAGAGACACACAAAGAGAATAAAAATCTTGTGTTTTCCAAGACACTAACATCTCTGCCCAAGTTGCAGAGGAGTGGTGAGTACCCTAAAGCAAAACGGTATAACTGAAGTCCAGAGATACAGCTAACAGCTTCTGTCATCTCAGTTCAGATCTTCCTCATATCCTCCACCAGTGTATCCTGCCCCCGTTCCAAACGCAGCACTAATCCTAACCTCAGATGTGCACAACTGTGCAAAATGCATCTGGACATACACATGATTTTCAAAAGCACACAGAAAAGAGCTCTGCAGAATGGCTGAACGAACTCAACTTTCATGACCAAAATTCATATTTTTGTAAGATAAGAGTTACCCGGAGGAAAATATTGAATAGCTATGTATTAAGGAGAAACAGATGCTGTTAAGTAGAATTTTCATAGAACAGAGGGGTTAAAAAAAATAGTAAAAATCCTGAAATTCCAGAAGCCACTTCATCTAAATATCTCAACAGTATTCCAGTTCTCGTGGAGAAACAAGATGCTATTTAACATTCCAAAACAGGCGTAGAAACACCAGCAGAATGTCAAAAAGTACCCTGTATTACTTATCTGGCATAAGGCCTACAAGCAAGACCAGTTTAACGACAGGGGTAAGTTCAAAAGAAAACTATTATCATAGGAGCTTAGATTTTCCTTGCCTTCGGTGGTATTCAGGCTGCTTTCCTCCTCTCCAATGCCCAAGAGGAGCAAATGGTGTAAGAAAGGATTCTCAGGAGATCTATCTATCATTTCTAGCTGTACTACTGCCAAGTTCTTCTCTACAGTTGGTCTATACAAAACAGGTTGAGGTCCCTTTATTGCTTACGATTAATTGAAAGAGCTCCAACCCAAATCAACAATAAGTTACAAAGTAAGCAGCTAAATTGTTCATTTCCCTAGAGGGAGAAATGCTCAGAGAGTCAAACCAAAGAAATTACACACAGAACTTGCAGTCCAGTCTGGTGAAACTCAGAAAACAGAAGTTGCCATAACTACTCTCATGACCAAGAATGCTGGTATCAGCATTTCTTTCCCAAGAAGCAACTTTTACAATGATTAAAGATGGCCTACATGAACAATCAAAACTTAAGACATCATGAAGGAGTTAAGAAAAAGAGACATTCAAAGTACCCTTTGCAACTGAGAATGGGAACAGAAACATCAAAGATCCAACAATCAGAGATAAAATGCATTCAGCAAAGAGCAGGACAAAACATTCTTGAACCATGGAAAGATCTATACATCTATTTAGTCATGGGATTTCCATTTAGGTACTTAGGAAAAACATGCTATAAAACTTTATCACTGGATTAGAAGCCTGTTCCTGGTAAACATAGTTATGGGGGGCACCTGTCCCAAAAGATAAGTTAATCCCATCTATCTCATAACCACTGCTCTGTCATATGAATCTTTGCATATTTCAACTGGCCAGGCCTTACACTTATTTGTGTTTTTTTGAGCAAAATAAATCTATAAATTTAAAGCCTCCTTAAAATTCAGTGCTTCCCAACAGCTCAATTTTCTGAGACTCTCTTGTATATTTTTTTTCAGACAAAAGACATTAAATCATCAGGATCTAATCACATTGCTCTAAGACAGAAGATTACTTTTTCTGGAATGGTTCCTAATTTATCTGACATACCTTTTGTCTGCCACAAAGAGCACCTTTATGAAACCCTATCTATTAAATTGGCCTTAGAAGCTTTGGACTCAGCCACGCATCCTATAGATACTCAATTCTCACCTTACCAGCTATTCATCTCTCTCTCAGTGACTCAAGACTCTGAGTTCTACATGAAGCAAAATGTTGCAATTTCTGGGAGTTTTCCCTATACCAAAATGGACAGTGTATTGGTACTCTGTCACTGAATACAAATGACTTTTAATTTCCTAATTGAACTTGAGCTACACAGCCATGTTGCATGCCCCTCACAGGAGCATATGCATCAGCAGCAGAGACTGTCAGGATACACCGTTTGCCTATTTGCCTGAGGCAAAATGCATTTGAAAGTCCAAATGACAAGGGGATCTCCCTGACTTTTGTGAGTGCTCTACTTCCACAGATATTTATGGAATCCATCTCACACCCAAAAAGAGAGAACAACTGCTCTTCAGCATTACAGGGCTAACAAAGCACTATCTCAGCAGAAAAGGTAACGGACAGTCACAGCAAGCCACATGAGGCCTCAGTCCAAGGATCCACGGGAAAGGAAGTGAGAGATTCCAAGAGTGAATGAGAAAGAAGTCTTAAATTTCAAATGCAAAAAGCGCTTTCTGCCTAGAAGGAGGTCTTGGAAACATTCATAAAGCTCTAGGGTTCTGGAAGCTTGTTGCCCACAACAAAAGTGGCTGAACAGCCCATAGCTCAGGTACATCCCCTGAGTCTCTTCTGTAGTTATGTAGAAATCCAGATAACCTCACTCAATCACTAGCTCACTCACCTGTGAGCCAAATTCCATGAGAATGACTTTCCTGCTACCCTCCTCAGCTTTGGCTTGTTGAAGTCACTTACCTGCAGCTTCTGGTATGGATTTCTCCTGACAGATTCAGATGAATGATAAATGGCCCGGCTTGACCGCTGGCCTGGATCCTGGCACACAAAGCCTATGGGCATCAGGAGGCACATGAGAACTTTAAGCCAGGCAAACCCTGAGATATAAACCTAGCATACCTGTTAATGATCTCAGTCTATACATGCCTTTCCTGTCCCTGCCCAAGGACCAAAAAGGATGTTTTTCTTTTTTATATCTTGCTTTGTTTAATCCCAAACTGTATATTGCATTACATTTTTTTGAATAAAACTGGAACTTGCTTCAAAACCAAGTACTTAAATCAATAACATGGGTTACCGAATAGCAGCATAGAGATAGGCTTCATTTCTTAAATAGCTGAGCAGGCTACCTGATGACAATTCTGCCTCTTTTAGTATTAGGCATAAGTTGCATCAAGTAACTGAACCAAGATGTACTAAGGATGCCTAAAAGGTGCTCTGCACTAGAAAGTCGCACAGCTTTCACAAGTATGAGTCTACTTCTAACATAGCCTAACCAGAACCCACATATTCAACCTAAAAAATGCATGAATACTGATTCTGAGGGCTAAACAGAAGTCACCTGCTAAAGAGAAAGAGTAGTGTCTTCAAATACCAAATTAGGGACTCTTAATACCACCTAAGCATCACAAACAGCCAGATAATCTGAAGCTGATATGTGCATATACAACTTCCCAGTGCTAAATACAGTTGCTCTCCTTTACCTAGAGTTCTCCTCTATTATACTCCTCTAATAACATGCAGCTCATAAAACCTACCTTTTATTGGTTTTAAATGAGGGAAAGATTGAAGGAGCTTTTTGTTACACTCACCTACAAGAGTGAACATATCTGAGAGCATGCTAGCTTTGATCTTCAGGTCCAAAGGAGCATCACTATCCCCACATGCAACAGAGGACAAGAGGAATTATTTCTCTGGCATTAAATGAGAGGAATGCATCAATATCCAAGATATCTTCCAATATAGTTTCTTTGTATTGGTCCTTAACACAGACATAATCAACATGGGAAGAAAACTAGGTGATTTTCACACACATAGGTCAACATGAAACAGCAACAGATTAATCTGTTTGTTTACCCTTTTTCACAGCTTTAGTCTTCTAATGCAGTGACGTATGGCCTTGTTTTAGTTCTGCTTGGCTAGAAACATTTTCTTTGAATGTATCTATGTTACATTTCATGGAGTAGATAGAGGCTGCTGCTGTAGAATTCTTAAAAACAATTACCTATGCCTCTTCCACATAAAATCATACAATCAGATGGGTTAGTTCTAATGGATGGGAACAATTGATTAGGGAAGGTGATAGATATGAAGAGATAGAATCATAGAATAGAATCATAGAATAGATCAGACAATGGGGACAGATGGGAAGCATCCATAATTTTATT